CAAGAGCAATCATAGAAATGTGGCCTGATGGTTAACGTCACATTGCACGGTCATGGTTCGAGTCCCGCAAGGAGGGCTGATGAGACCTAGGTGAGGTCAAAACTGCAGTCTACTTATTCCTGGATGAGAATGCTTTTCGAGAGGCAAGGTTATAACAAATTCAATAGAATCGTTAGCTCAATCCATATCGTTGTGGAAAAATTCAACTATTAGTCCTTCATCGCCTTGAGCGAAATAGGGTAAACACATCTCACAAATCACTTCTTTCAACCTTATTACAATGAAATGAGAAGAAGTAGAAGTGGAAGTGAGTGGATCTTGAATAAAGACATAAGGTGTTTAAGGGCTGATAGTTGAATACTCGCACCAGTATATTATAGCATTGAATTTCATCAAAAGTTATTCATCTCAAGAATGAACCACACTTTTGACCTCGCCTGGGTCTCACCATCACCCGCAAATGGAATCGAATCCGGGTAGTGACGAGTACAATTTCTACATGTTGTCGTTACTGTCACAATTGTGGATTACTGAGGAGACTTGCATTTCAATGCAAGCCAGGCCTTGCCCATGAAGCAAACATTTATTTTTGTGGGAAGAAAAGTTGGGTTTCAAGGAATCTCTTGTTGCATAATTGTTGAGCCTACTTCCATTCCAACACTCGCTCAAAATGTATTTTTGTTTTCAAGTAGAGCTTTGAGACTACCAGATCTTGATTTGGAACTGTGTTCACCATATTTCATTTAAGGTGATTAAGATGACCTTCCTTATAATTTAATTCTACCATGTGACCCAAGAGAAGTCGTGACAGTGTGGCGTAGTGCTTAGCGTGTCGATACTATAAACTGCACTACCATAATCCAGATTTGAGTCCCTCTGGGGGTGCTGATGAGATCAAGAACAGGTCAAAATTGCAGCCCACTTCTGATTTGATGAAGATAATTTTTGGGAAGCAAGACTATGTGAAATCCAATGAAAAACATGAGACCTACTCATATCAACATAGTAAAATTCATCTACGAGTCCTTCATCACCTTAAACGAATGAGAGGGATCTAGTATTCTGCTATTAGCATAAACTAATTAATTATATTCGCGGTGAATATGTTTACGATACTGGAATCATTAGTAAAAAGGAAGTTTTGGACTTTTTTTTGTCTCATCAGCTGTCCCAACAAGATTGTAATCAGGCTGTATACACTGAGCGGCAAGATGTGCCATTGAGTCACAAAACAGATGTAATTTTTTTCGGCTATCCAGGTCTCTCTCAATTCATAATTTTAGCGTTTTTTGCTAAGGCCAACTTGTATCTGTCATCTGAATTGATGAAAGCATTATCAAATAACAAATAGGGGCCCAATTCTTCAAAGATGTTTAAGGGTGATGTGAGAATTGAGGGCTGGAATTTTCACAATAGACTTTGCCGTTTGATATACACACTTTGATTTAAATCCCACTGAAAGCTAAGTGAAATTCAATGGCATCTTAGGGCTTTCTATTTATTTCATTGCGTCAACTTCTGCTATCATTCCTTTAATTACCTCTTGCGACCCAAAGTGATTTTGGTTCTTGTTCAGAGTTTTCTAATGACTTAGGAGCCTACTAATCACTCTTCGTTTCCGGTGAAAGCGGGCTAAACTCCATCATAATATAAATTAGGCTTCGAAGCTAGCAGTAAATATTGAATATGAATTTAAGTCATACTAGATTGCAAAGGCTGATGAACGAGTGAGTATTACATTTTCACAAAATGGACCGCAGATTCGACCTAACTCAGCTCGAGATTGCCGGTACTTCATCACGTTATGCGATCCAGGATGACTTCAGCTCTTAATCAAGCTCTCTACTACTTATTAGTAAAGCAAATTGGAGGACATATTTATAAATTTACTTCATTCTGCTGTCGACCTCAGGCCCACAAGAAGGAAACTTGCTAAATTACGCAGAGATAACACAGATGGTTTTACATCCTTACGTACAGTTATACAAAAGTGTATATACAAAAATGGAGGCGAGCATCCAATTATCACTTGATCTGATTGCTTACAAATGTCTCTCTTCTGGAGTTAATAGAGCCAGTGGAGATGAGACGGTGTTACATTTCCTCACTTTTGGTTAGTCTGAAGTCGCAAGTTTGACAATATCTGTTAAAGGCTATAAGAGAGAAAAATTAAGCATATTTCCAGTGGAATCGACGGTTGCATCAGCCTGAATATCCCGGCAAAGTCAAAATGTATCAGTCCAAGTGGAATCAACCTACGAATCTCTTCATCAGGCACATTCACATGGAATAAAAATCAGCTCAACAAAATGGGTATAATAACGACCAAAGCTCTTCGCATGCTGAAGGCAGAATAACCCATTTGCCGCGGACGCAACGTGAATACGTTTATCAATTAGTTCCGAAAATTTGATTTCAATCAGTCAAACATGACCGAAACTCCCGTTGCTGGCCACCAAATGAGGAAAGACAACTTGGTCGTAGTGTCGACACCACGATCAGAGAAATTCTCTTTAGAGAAAGTTAGCATGTGTAAGATTCCAGAGGATAGTCCTTTATAACGGGATGCCTGACTTAACAACACTTCCACTCGAAATGGAAGTAAGCTTAATAATTATGAAATATAAATTCCTCGAAACCCAAATTTTCTTCTAAATTTGAGACAGCAACTCACTTACAACTAGTGCATTATATACAGCGGACGACTAAAAGGCTCTGCCGCAAAATATCAATATAGCTGAAGAAAGGACTTAAAGGGATCCCTTATGAAATCTGCAATGGTGGTGCTTTTATCTCACATGAGAAGTTGAGTTTTAGGGTTTTTATATGTATGAGTGGGAATATAAAATCGGATTTCACTTAGAACAGCCT